AGGATTGACAAAGAGGCCCCTACGGCCACCAGGGCCCCGCACACGAGGCCCAGAGGGCCCCAGGGCTCTACAATGGAGCGAGAAGCTGGTGACACCCTCGGCCGGGGACACCTTTGGCAACCCCTGGCCTGGTGTCTTCCTCCCAGGCGTTGTCAGAGACAATTGGAAGAAGGTCGAGAGCAACGTCGAGCGGGGCAGGACCTCCGGTGACGTTGGAAGTCCTGCCGCTTCCGTCCGTACCTTATCCTTTCTCCTCTTTCCCCCTCCCTCCCTCCCTCCCTCCTTTTCTCGCTCCTTCCCTTCATCTGTCTCGCTCTCTCTCTCTTTCTCTCGTTCTCTTTCTTTCTCTCTCTCTCTCTCTCTCTCTCTCTCTCTCTCTCTCTCTATATATATATATTGTTGTTTCTCTCTATATATATATCTTGATCTCTGTATAATTATAGATGTACTGTGTATGTACATCTTCCTTTCGGGTGCGTATACTTGAGCCCTGTATTTCGTTATGTTGTTTTGGCCCGCCGATCCCTTCATGGCGGTTGCAGCGGCTGGAGCCATGCCGCTCGACACGAGGCGTTCGGGGGCCAGGCACGCGGTCCAGACAGCCCACCGGGTGGCGCCAGGCCGCTCGAGAGGACTTCCGTATCAGCCGAGCTCCTTCCTCGCCCCCCTTGGCATCCCAGGCGTCGTTGAGAAGCACGACGAGCCTTTGGCCCCACGTTGGGGTTTCGGGACCGCCCCGGGTCGCTCCAGCTCGAGAAGCCGGGCGAACAGACGAGGCTAGGAGGTCCGCTCACGGCTCTTCGCGGCGCCCCGATCTTCTCACGGCCTCGGATCCCGAGGTCCCCATGGGCTTGTGCCTTCGCTGACACCGTCGAAACAGCATGCTACACCCTCGGAAGAGCACTTTGCACACGCACGCAGTTCAGGAGGGAAAAAACACACAGACACAATTAATCGTCGATCCCCCAGAAAATATAGGAAAATATGGGAAGTTGGGGGGGAAGACAGAAACCCAGAAAATATGAGAAAATATGGGGAATGTTTCTATGTGTGCGTGTGTGTGTGTATTTGTTCGTGTGTCCTGGGGCCCCTTCAATGTTGCACCCTCGGAAGAGAAGTTTGAACACGCACGCAGTGGTCTTGTGTTTTTGTTCCTGGCCCGGCGGCGCGCGGGCCGACGGGAGAGCGCGCCGCCGAGCGTCTTTCGGAGGGGCCAGGCCGACTGGGACAGGCCCTCGGGGGGGCCTGCTGCATGCAGAGGGGGAGCTCTCCTCCTCCTCCTCCTCCTCCTCCCTCCTCCCTCCTCTCTCCTCCTCCTCCTCCTTCTCTTCCTCCTCCTCCTCCGCCTCCATTTCGCCTCCTCCTCCTCCTCCTCCTCCTCCTCCTCCTCCTCCTCCTCCTCCTCCTCCCCCTGGGCTCTTGCGCGCCGAGGCTCTTGGGAACGTCCTGCCTATGGCAGGTGCCCGCCACTGCCGCCTCTGGCCACGTCGGCGCCCCGCCCCGCGCGGCGACTCGGCGCCCACCTCCCGGAGGAGGGGCGGCGAGGGCGCGCGGTTCCACTCGGGGCGCTCCGTCGAGCGGTGCGCCTCTTCACGCAGCGTGGGCCCCGTGTGCACGAGCGGTTGTGAATTCCCAGACTGGTGACATACGATTTGCCCGACGTGGAGGGTACGTGGTGCTCTGGCTCGATCTGCCGCCGTCGTGAGAGAAGCAGAGTTCCAGGGCCTCCACACTAGATCCTACCAGAGCATGAGTGGTGGCAGGAGTTGTGTAGATATGTTGGCGCCCTCCCACAGATGAAACACGCTTGGAGGCAATCGAGTGGCCTGCGGCCCATCCAGCCACCGCGCCTGGCTTGTGGGCCAGGGTGTTGGTGAAAGCCTTTTAGGCTCTCCCTGGGGGGCACGTTATGTTACTCTTAGGGTCTCGGGTCCCCGCTTGCAGGAATGTTGGGGGCGTTATGGGCAGTCGTGGACGCCCTGACTAGAGTCGTCAAGTCGACAAGGTGCGAATCAAACACTGACACGGCGTTCAACGATTATGTGTTTCACGGTTCAGTCAAATTTCATATTGGACGTTCGAAGGCACAAGAAGACAACAGTTATAAAAAGCATAAACGTGCGTGTCGCGTTTGGATTTTGGGGCCCGATCACGTTTGGATTTTGTTGGACCCAAAAACACGAGAAGGCAACGATCGTGGATATCATCCAGACGTGTAAGTTATGTTGAGACCTTCGGGGGCATATTTCGCGAGGGAGGAAAATACACCCAGACCAGACAATTGGCGTTTACTAAACGGCCCCGGGCGTTTACTAAACAGCACTGCTCTGGTTGATTCCTCTTTGGGCGCGTTTACTAAACGACTTCGCGTGTCGGGGTGGTTCTTATGGGGGGGGATTGTTTGACCTCTAATTTCTTCATGTTGGGGAAACGTGCGGGTCGTGGACGAGGGGGTCTGAGAGGCCTCTTCGGGTCTGTTGGAAGGTCTCTTAGGGCCTCTTGAGGGCCTCCTGGAGGCCTCTTGGAGGCCTCCTGCGGGCTTCTCGGGACCTCTTGGGGGCCTCTTGCGGGCCTCTTGGGCTTCCTCGAGGGCCCTAGGCCTTGCTCGGGGCTCTCTCTTGGCCCTCTTGGGGCTCCGTTGGGGGCCCCTTTGGGCCGTCTTGGACGCCCTGGAGACCGAAAAGCCGAGCATACAAAAATCATGCCAAAGCATCAGGTCCCTTCACTAAGATTAGCTCATAACACCGGCACCAGGGTATATGGGCCACGAGGCCCTTTTGAAAGCCCCAGGGGGCAGCTCCTGGAGGCCTTCGAGGGTTCCTATCGGGGGAGCGTAAGACCTGGGTTTGCCAGGACTCGGGTTCGCCATCGTTTTTTGACGACCGCGCCTCGGATTTTGACGAGGAGGAGTTTCGTGGGATGTCTGCAGCGGGAGGCCTCGTCAAAATGCAGGCTCGGCCTCGTCATTTTTGTTGACGACCTCGTCGGGGATTTCCGAGTCCCCCGTACCCAGGTCTTACGTCCCCCTGATCCTACGGTCAGGTGGCCCGTCTGCGAGTGAGGTGCTTGACAGGCCGTCGCCTCCTTGCGCTTGTCCGGCGGCCCGTGCAAGCTTGCGCGGCGGCACGCTCGCGCAGGAAACGCACAGGAGCTTCGTGCTCGCAGCGTGCTCCGCCACCCGCGGGTCCCTCTCCCCCGTCGTCGCGCCCGTTGCAGTCCTGCGGCGTCGGGGTGTCCTAGTCGCCAGGGTTGCCGTGCGTGTGCACGGCGAGCGGATGTGGCCTGCCTGACTGGCCGCCTCCAAGTCGTGCGCGTCCCTCCCGTTGTGCCCAATCGGGCGCTGGTGCACCCCCCGCCGCCGGCCAGTCTCTTGACGGGCCGTGGGTGGGTTCGTGGCTGGGGCGCGGGGCATGCGCCGCCGATGCTTCTTGGTAAGGCTCGTAATATCGCGCTCGTACATTCCTCGTGTGCAATTACGCAGTAGACATATGATTCGTCGACTTTCGTGAGAAGAACATGATATACGATCTTTCAAAAACAAGTCCAGGATGATGACCTTCAAGCCTAATTATTCTCGCGAGTAGCGTACGAGCCTTATCGACACGTCCCGGGTCTATGTTTGAGTGGCCTCGCGGATACCAACATACACGCTCGCCCACATGCAATTCAGCGTGCGTTTGTGCGTGCGCATGCGATGTCCGCGCATGTAGATTCGTTTGATACCCAGGGGACAACCCAGGAGACAATCCAAAGGACAACCGCGGAACAGCCCACGGGACATTCGCGTGGGAATTTAAGGGACAGGCACTGGACAGCCCACAGGGCAGCACAAGCCCGAACCCTAGCCCGAGCGCGAGTTTGAGACGAAGCCCGAGCCCGGGGCCCGAGCCAGAGAACGAGCCTCACCCTGAGCGCGCGCACGTGCGCGTGCGCTTGTATGCGTGTGCGCGTGCGTGGGTACGCATCCGATGTGTAGCATGCAGTCTGGGCAATTTCTGCCAGCACTAATTACCTGATGTTAGGCCTTTTGTTTCAGCGCTTCTTGGAACGATATCAGGAGATGTTGGGGTCGGTTTGCGCGAGTCTGGCTTCCCTGAGACCCACACGAGTAACGGCCGAAGTGCGCAGCACCGCCCAAGAATTATTGTACATGTGCGGTCCATGTTGGTACGAACCTTACAGCTTGTTTCACACTCGCATCAGCAAGAGCTTCATGACTCCACTACGCGCTGAAGCACTGTGGCGGGAACTTCGATCTGGTTGAACGCATAGAATGTAGCATACTAAGTTGTTGTCAACATGCATGTGTGATCATTATCCCGCACCAACACGGGTACACAATGGACTGTGGAAACATCCCATTGTGCCGTTGCGCATATCCGCCACCATGCTTTCGTCAGTGTTGTAGCGTGGCGAAGCCATGGCACTGCATGGTTGCCGCTGTTCCTCGTTCGGCCGCTTGTTAGTGCAGGGTGGAGGCGGAGGGGGGTAGTTGCGGAGATCAAGAGGGTGAAGGGAAAGCAAGAGCAGCATCACTAGGAAGACGCACCAGAGAAACTGGTCGAGCCCGACAGGCCAGTGCAAGCCTGGACAAGAAGCCCTCCCAGCAGCCTGATCTGCACGACAGCTTTCAAACGGCGGCGGATGTCTGTGTCCATGTCCGCGTCCGTCATCAAGGCGTTATGTTGTGGAGTTGTGTTCCCCAGTCGCTGTCGTCCGAAAATAGCGAGGGCAGCACTGCGATCCAGAGCAAAGCGGCATCACAGTGAAAGTCCGGTTGCTATGTGGTTCACGATGTGTTGTTCCCGCTGTAAGACAAGGCGCAAGGCCAACGCAATCTTCACGGAGCACGCGCTTTCGCCAACGAGGCAGGGGGGTGCCATCCAGAGCCAGGTGAAGTCCAGAATATTTGCATTGCCATTTGAGCTCAGGCAGCCACCGAGTTGTGCAGTCTGAGAGGTCTCCAACCTGACGCACACTCGCCTGGGCGTGTCGCTACGATGCCGCTCGCGGTTCTCCCCGACGTGTCCGCACTTCCAGACGCGTCGGACTTCAAGCCCTCGCTCTACACGTTCGACGCTGAGCTGCTCCTCGAGTCGCTCGCCACTCTGGCAGACGGCAGCGGCTATTATGCCCGGGTGAACGGGAAGGACAAGAATTGCGAGGTCGAGATATTGAAATTGGACATGGGGGCGGGCATGAAGTACAGCACGTTGGCTTACAGCTCCCCCAAGGAGGCAGGCCAGGTTGGCGAGATCGTGGCGAAGGCTGTCGCCGAGGGCTCGGAGACGGCCTCGGGGACGATCTCCTGCGACGGCAATAAGATCACGCTGAGTGAGAAGGGCGTCGTTCTCGAGGTGGTCGACAGGGGCCACCTGAGAGAGTGGAAGTCGTCCGAGGGCGTGAAGTGGACCGAGTTCTACTTCTTCCTCGGCGCCAAGGGATCCGGGTCGCTGGAAACCTGCGGCACACGGCGGTGGTTCGAGCGCGACCTGCCCACGGGCGGCACAACGGGCCTCTTCCTGCAGCACGCGCACCTCTTCTCCGTCGAGTGAGGGGAGGGGCACAGCTCGAGCTCCAAACGACTGCATAAACATATACTGTCGGAGGTCCGCGCACATGTTTCTTCGGTCGTCGCTGCAGCCCCCTCCCAAACACGCCTGGAAGCGCCTCTGGCCCCGCCCCCCGGTAGGGAAGGGGTGTTTGGAGGGCGTTCCGGTGCTTACCAAAAAAGCCCGCACGTACCTCCGAAAGTTCATGGTTTTGCAGCTTTGTGTTGCCCCTTTCTGAAGGGCCGCCAGGCTGAAGAGAACATGCGCCCAGCGTGCCCTTCGGAGGTCTTATATTTTCCTCGCTGCCGTAAGCTGGGTTGGCGAACTTCCGAGGGGCAGCGCCCGCGGTCGGGTCGCCAGGGGGGCTTCGGCTGGGGCGTGTGTGCGCCAGGCCCGTCGCCACAACTGGAGGCCACAATCTCGACTCGGGAGGGAGGCGGCGGAGCCGGATACCGAAATCATCCTGGCGAAGGATCCACCCATGTGCAAGTGTGAATACCGCAAGGCAGGTGTGGCAAAGGAGGGGGGAGCTCCCTGTGGGGCCACGAAACGTGCAAGGGGTGCGCCGAGGTGTTCGGGGGGACGCGCATGCGAACCCTGCCACAGGAGCCTTCGTTGGAGCTCTCTGTGGGGCCACGAGCATTGTGAGGGATGTGCCGAAGTGGGTGGAGGGACGCATGCGAACCTTACCACACGAGCCTTCGGTGGAGCTCCCTGTGGGGTCACGAATCGTGCGAGGGGTGTGTCGAAATAGGCAGGTGGAAACATGCGGACCGTGGAGCTCCCTGTAGGGCCATGGAACGCGTGAGAGGTGTACCGTAACAGTCGTCAGGACGCTTGCGAACTTTGCCACAAGAGTTTTCGGTGAAGCTCGTTGTGGGGCCACGAAACGTGTAGGGTGTGTGCCAAAATCAGCAGGGCGCGCATGCGAACCCTGCCACAGGAGCCTTTGGTGGAGCTCCCAGTGGGTGGAGCCACGAAGCGAGTGAGGGGTGTGCCTGAATGGGCGCAACGCCTACGTGCAAACCCTGCCAGTAGGGCCTTCGGTTGAGCTCCCTGTGGTGCCACGTTACGCGTGAGGAGTGCGCCAAAATAGGTGCGGTGCCACCATGCGGGCCCTGTCACTGGCTCCTTCAGCGTAGCCCTCAATGATGATGATGATGCTGATGATGATGATGATGATGATGCTGATGCTGATGCTGATGATGATGATATTGATGATGATGACGAAGATAATGAGAATGATGATGATGATGATGATGATGATGATGATGATGATGATGATGATGATGGCGGTGGTGATCTTGATGATGATGATGATGACGATGATGATGATGATGATGATGATGATGATGACGATGACGATGACGATGGCAATGAATAATGATGATGATGATGATAATCATGATGATGCTTATGGCGATGGTGATGATGGGGATGACGATGACGATTACGATAACGATGAATGATGATGATAATGATGATGATGATGATGATGGTGGCGATGATGGTGATGATCATGATGATGATGATGATGATGATGATGATGATGATGATGATGATGATGATGATGATGATGATGGTGGTGGTGGTGGTGATGGTGATGGTGATGGTAAGAGAGAGCGTGATCCGCCGCCGCTTTACTGTGGAAAATTGCCGCCTTTTTCCTCCGGAACCCGGGGGTCCCCCCCCCCCTCCGAAAATCCCCCCCCTGCTGGAACCCCCCCCCCCTCCTCACCCTCCGGCAAAACCCCCCCCCCGCCCCTAATTAACCCCTTCCCCCCCCCCCCCCCTCCCCCTCGAAAACCAAGGGGGGTCACTACCGGTTCGAACCCCTCCCCCCCCCCCCCCTCTCCCCCTCGAAAACCGGGGGGGTCACTACCGGTTCGAACCCCCCCCCTCCCCCCCCTCGAAAACCGGAGGGGTGTCACTACCGGTTCGAACCCCTCCCCACCCCCCCTCCCCCCACTCACCGCCAGCAAACGACTCCCGGTCCCTACCGGCGTCCGCACCACCTGAAGGCCCTGCGTAGTTAGTAACAGTTAGCGGAACTTCTAATTGTTATTAACGGAGTTATAACTAGTTCGGTTTGGCCAGTTTGAAGCTGTTTTTTAAATGTTTATGTTATGTTTTTGCATCTCATGTAGTTGGAAATTGGGGCATCATGATTGGGCGCTTCGTCGATTTGGATATGCTCAGGGGCCTTCAGATTTTTTTTATCGTCCTGGGGCAAACGCGACGGTCCGCAGCGCATCATGCTAGCAACATCGCGATTTGTATTCTACTGGCCAAATGCACGTGATGTCGTTCTCTATTTTCCTGTAAATCACAGGAGTTTTCAGCGAGGTCAGAGGCATCAGAAAAGGGTCTGTATCATCTAAAAAGATGTGTCTGGAAAAACCTTCAGCGGCGTTCACATGCTTAGTTGCAAGCTGCTGGACAAGCACCTGCGACTCGCCATCGTCGCATTTCACGTGAAACCACACTTGCATTGCTGCATGCATCCCGCCCGACCCCAGAAGTACGATATCACCGCGCTTGATGCGGCCGAAATCTGTCATGGCTTCGATGCTGGAGACGGCTGTCTGCGTCCCAGGGCACATGCGTTTCAACGCATTCAGCAGCTTCTGTGTTGCTTTCGTTGGGTCGACTAAGCCAGGTGAAACACGCATGGTCTTTAAATCGTGCGCGTGCTGCGCAGTGAGTTGGACCATGAGAGCCTTCTCTGGCCCCTTCTTGCACATGTGGTCTTTGGCGAAACGTTTTACGTTTTTGTGCTTGCGTTCCTGGACAAAGCAACTGAGCGACCCATGTTTTTCAAACATTTCTGGCAAATGTGTTGCCATATGGTGCTTATACACCCAATAGCTTTCACCATATGCGTCCTGATGGCACCGAAGATGTTTCACTATCGCTGACTCTATCTGCGCGGTCGTGACTGGAAGCCGCCGCGCCGCCGCGATGATTATGTCAACGGCATCTTGCAATGCCAGCATACTTGCGATCTGGGGGGCCACTTGATCCGATGAAGGATGCTTGGCAATTACTTGCCGAATATACCTGCACAAAACAGGCAACGCAGAGATCTCTTCTGAGGCACTTGCTTGGAGCTCACCAGTCTCCCATACAGTTGCGGCTGAGTGGTGTTTACTCGGCCACGTCCACTTCATGAAATACTCATGCAACTCCCTTGCATCACACAAACACTTGAACTGCGCATGCCCTAAAAGTGCTTTTACTTCTCTGTCGAATATACCAGACACAAAATAAATATGCATCCAGTCAAAGCAAATGAATGACGCAGGGAGATATCGCAAACCTGGGTCCAGCGCTATGTGTTCGGGGTGGAAGTTCCATCCTTTGTGCTGTGTGATGGTCGTGTACTGCCCCTCTGAAAACTCCCCCCGCTGATATTTATCCCAATCGGGTCGAAGTCGTTCCAGGATCGCGATGATTGTCGCGTCATCGTTTCTGCGTATCTTTGACGCATCCAAGCACGCGTCTGTCACAAAGAAACCAGATACATCATATGTCAAATAATCAAACTTTCTATTCAAGACGTTGCGACATAACGCACAGGGTTTGGAACCAGCGTGCCCTTTGTTCATGTGTAGTTCCCGCAATGCCTCTTCGTCCCCTATGACGCACGACAGCTTCGCGACGATCGTCGCGTGCGACGTTGCGTCGCCGTTCTCTGACACGTCTAATGTAACACCGCTCGTCTCAAAATTGAAACCACCAGCAGTATTTTTTTTTAAAAAAAAAACTCTTTGAGGGTCATCTTGATGCACTGCCCGATGCCACCTGGGATGCTTTTTATTTTTGCGCACCGCGCAGTGCTAAGCGTGAACCACGCATCTTCGTTACCCAAGGACTCGTCGAACTCAGCGAACGACCAGTAAACAGCATCAACCCCCCGATAATCTTTCCCCTTCGCCAGGGGGTCTCGCGGTGAAATACCATCGAAATATAAAATGATGTGCCACGGCGACGCCAAGCTGCATGGGTGCTCCTGAAGTGAGCGGCGAAACATCTCCCTGACTGGAGCGCTAGCCTTGCAGCAGGAATACAAAAATGGCCCAGGACAGCACACCCAGTTCTCGAAAGTTCTACCACTGACTAAAGGCGTGTCTATGCAACGCAAGACGTTCCCATATGCGTTCGACTCTTTGGCAATGATGTTTTCGTTTGCCCTGTATTGTGAGCTCCGTGAAATATTGTCGGGCAACCCATGGTCTCGCACATATTTTAGGACACCCGACAGAGCACGCTGTGACAGGTATGAGCCCCTGTGGAGCTCCACCAGCGCCTCATCCGCCTTGCGTTTCCTGGCGGCGGACGCGGCCATGGTTTCAGCCCAAATGGCTACAGACTCGATAACGATGCCAATGCGCATCATAGGATGCATGCGTCGCGTTATGGTAGGGGCACGCTGCATGATGCATCTGAATGCAGCGAGGCGATAGATCACAACAGAAGTGCACGTTGCATATCGATGCATATGGCATGATACGACGTCGCATCAGAAGGACATGTAGGTGCAGATTGATGCATACGAAGTGCGACGGTAGCTCGCAACAGAAAGGAGTGTTGCATATTGATGCATGCGACTTGCGATGAAAAGATCGCAACAGACTTGTGTTTTAGACATCATGGTGCAACGTCATACAAGCAAGAGAGAGTTCGTCGATGTGGCGCCGCCCACCGCCGCGCTGCAGCTGCGATGCGAGCTCCCAGCCCTGCTGGTCCTCAACAACCCCCTGGTCCTCCCCCTCCCCGCGTCGAGCACCTAACACTTGGCGTCGATCCACGCCAGCGCCGCGCTCCAAGCCTCAATGCGATTCATCGTCGCATTGCGGTCGAAGCGGACGCGGCGATCTGCCCTCCCCACAACGGCCTTGAACACCTTCTGTGAAGGCTTGTAGGCCACGTAGCCGCACCTGCACGGCGCGTTGCACTCGCACGCCGGCGGCTTGGGCAGCACGGCGGGCTTTGGCACGGCA